TACAGGGACACCCCCTTGGCTCTCCTGGTGGACTATAAGTGGGTGGGGCCCCCTCGTTACCATTTAGTGGCAAATCCACCCTCTCTGCCACCCCCCGTATTGAAGGACTGCCGTCTGTCTCAATAAAGCTTTGTGCATCTGCCATCCACTCTGTGTGTTCTGTCCTGTCCTGCCTTTCCTCCGTCATATATATTGTATTTTTCTCGTGGTTACCTATGGGTTTCCCTTTGAATCCCGGACAATTCTTATGTCCGTTTTGGCTGCAATCTCTCTTGGTCTACCTGACCTTAGCTTGGTATCAAGAGATCCCTGAACTTTCCACTTCTTAATAGGTGATTTAACAGTACTGATTGGCATATTCAAGGCTTTGGACATCTTTATATGTGCTTTTCCATCTTTATAAAGCTCCATTACCTTCTTAAGCAGGACTTTTGACAGCTCTTTCTGATCCCCATGGCTCAGTATCTAGCCTAGTCAGTGCTTCTACGTAAGCGCTAACAAACTCATTGACTATTTATACAGGGACACTAATTGCAATTTAAAAAGCCACAGATGTGGAACATTAACCTCTAATTGGCATTTTAACCCATGTGTCACCTTGTGTGTCTTTACCAAGGCCAAACATTCCAGGGTATATAAACTTTTGATCATGGCCATTTGGGTGATTTCTGTTATAATTCTGATTTAAAAAGGAGCCAAACAACTATTTTGATAATAAATGGCTTCATATGATCATCATCCTTCAATAAAAGAGCATTTTTTGGCATGGCCAGTCATATTTTAAATATCAATGCCAAAATTTCACAATTTCTGCCAGGGTATGTAAACTTGAGAGAGAGAGAATATAAAGAAATAAAATATAAACGCCTTTGTACATTGATGCATTCCAATCCATCAAAGGGATGAGTGTAATTTGTGGTTTGACATCTGGTATATGTTTAAACTATCTGGGGGCTATTTGACTTTTGTTATTTCTGGGTTTTCGATACAAGACATTAGGATAATGGATGTTTGTAAAAAAAATATACACACTAACGTGCTTCTACATTGATAGTGAAGATAAGAAAGAAAAAAGTGCCTCGCTGCAATGGACTCTGCTATTACTCCACTTACCTGAGCTTTATTTTTTACACAATGTGAGTGCTTTTACATTGCTTCCCAATAAATATTGTTACAAACTGCACTTAGAGGCACTGTTTTTTCTTTTTTATCTTCACACAAAGCCTGCTACAGCTACAAGAGCTTGCCCTAGTGCTATATGGACTCATTTGCACTATATTGCATTTATGACATTGGATTTTATGAACATTTATCTTGTGCCCCTTGCCAATAGGATTTGGGAATCTGTATGCGCTGATTTTCTCTGTTTATACATTCATAGTGTCTGGGAGTTTTCTTTGTATACATTCAGTGTAACGGAACCGGTACCCGACCGCACTTGGGTATATTCCGTTATCCCGCAGCTTCCCCTGTCCGAACACCATCCACGGACCACACCCTGAAATCTCTCAGGAAAACAGACAGCACCCAGCTCTTCCTAGAACAGGAAGCCAACTACTTTTATTGTACACAAACAACATGTTTTATACAGAGGGTGGGGAAAGACAACCAGGGACAGGAAACACATCATCAGCCCACCCTATCAGTGGGAAGGGCTACAGTATAGGCAGGAAACACCTCATCACCCCTCCCCATCCAACCAGACACAGAACAATGGGATGCAGCCATGCGGCAAAGGATATTGACCAACCCCCACACCAATACACAAACAGTACATCCCATAATAGTTGGCTGGACAGGAAGACACAGCACAATGGGGGGTAGCACATGGCAAACAGACAATGGACAGCCATGTGGCCTAGACAAAGGAACACACACTATACACAAGACTCAGACATTCACATACACACCCTGTACCCCTTAAACAGGCACAGGGTGGGTTAAACATAATGAGGGGGACATGAGCTGACCAAGCGGTTCCCCCACCCCTAAAAGTCACTCCCGTCACATTCAGTGTCTGGGAATTTCTTTGCATTATCTTTATTCCCTCTATAATAAGGCAGTTCGTACTACATTTCATCTAATGTTGTAACTCTATCCATGTTGTACATTCTTCATATAGACGCTAATGTGGTCCTACCTCTATTATTGTTAATATTAATTTTGGATTTCATTCTTATAATTTATATTTTCTTTTTTTATATACATTATTAATTTATTACATATATCTCCTTTTATATATTCCTTTTCATATATTTCCCCTTTCTTTACATATTGTCTCAATTGATGAGTTCTTGTTCAACACCGCTACTTTACTGCCCCTTTAATTTTTGCTGAGTATTGTTGTTCTACGATGACGGCATGTCTCTATTTAAGGTTTCACTTTTTGCATGTACAATCTAGCCTGTAGAAGAAGCTAGAGGCTCCGAGCACGTAGCCTGTGTCCTTTGCCTGTGTTCCTGGTATCTTCTGTGTTCCACATCTGACTATCTGCCTCTTTTGGTTATGTCCCTTCCGCCGGTGCATTCCACGCTGGTCAATGTGGGCTCTCCCTGATCCAAATGGTGTTGGACTGGCTCTGCTGCACCCCATGACATCCCTGTGCTCTCCCAACCAGGATATATGGCTCCACACTGTCCCAGCTTACATCCATGGCACCCTAGGTGTATGACCGGCGGTGCCTGCAGGACGGAGAGGAGTGACCACATCCCCCTACACAGATGAGTTTGTCATTTTCTTGCCTCTTGTAAATGTTTTTATTCCTATTATTAAATACAACACCTCATTACTGCACTTAGACTGGCGCCTCCTGTTTTTCTTGTTTTTGTCTTTGCGTGTAGAGTTGGCGTTGCTCTATAGGATGGCTACTGCTATTTGACACTTAGTGACTTTTTAAAGACTTGATTATGTCTATGGACATTATATGATTGATTCTTTTAACTGTGTTAATTTATATTTGACCCGTGCCTGTCTCCAGCATAGAGGTATACGTTTAAAAGTATATATACATATGTAATTTGCCTTGCAGGCATCTGACACTTTGTTCATAATCCATACTGTATTATTTTGGAACAACCTCACCTCTGTGCACCATAATTTCTCCTTTATTGCCTTAGCACAGCATGCTTAGGACAGGATATTGTGCTTAGCTGAGAAAGCCCCTTCTCCCCTCCCGAAGACTCCTGCCATGTATGACACCATTTGCCTAGGCCAGGGGTCTGCAACCTTTAAGACATAAAGAGCCACTTGGACCCGTTTCCGAAGGGAAAAAAAAGACTGGGAGCCGCAAAACCATTGCAACATTTATAACAAATCCGACACTGCATATATTGCAAAAAGCACTCTGGTCATGAAGGGGGTTTAAGGGCCCAGTAAGCAAAGGGTTAATCAGGGCCACAGTGTATCTTCATAATCACAATCATAGCCTTAGGTCAGTGGTGGGCAACCTTTTTTTTTCAACTGAGCCAAATCTCGCCAAAACCACGATTGAAATTTATTTTGACAGCCACATTTTTAAAACTGAAAATACATCCCCCATATAGTAATTCATCCCCCATAGTAATTCATCCCCCATAGTAATTCATCCCCCACATAGTAATTCATCCCCCACATAGTAATTCATCCCCCATAGTAATTCATCCCCCATATAGTAATTCATCCCCCATATAGTAATTCTTCCCCCATAGTAATTCATCCCCCATATAGTAATTCATCCCCCATATAGTAATTCTTCCCCCATAGTAATTCATCCCCCACATAGTAATTCATCCCCCACATAGTAATTCATCCCCCACATAGTAATTCATCCCCCATATAGTAATTCATCCCCCATATAGTAATTCTTCCCCCATAGTAATTCATCCCCCATATAGTAATTCATTCCCCATAGTAATTCATCCCCCACATAGTAATTCATCCCCCACACAGTAATTCATCCCCCACATAGTAATTCATCCCCCATATTGTCTCAATTCACTTACCTTTGCTCCGCGCGTTCCTCTCGCTGTGTTCCCGCGCCGTTCTGGTCTTCAGGGCGGACTGAGAGAGGAGTTCGTCACTCTGCCCCGCCTACATCCTGGCTGCCCCACCTACATCCTGACAGCCAATGTTCCACGCTCCGCGGGCCGGATTTTTGAGGAGGGAGGGGAGCGGGCGCCCGGCACACAGAAGAGCCGCATGTGGCTCGCGATCTGCGGCTTGCCGACCACCTGGTGGGCAGTGTGCTCCAGAGCCGCAGCAAAGATGAAAAAGAGCCGCGGGTTGCCGACACCCGGCCTAGGCATAGAAGCCAGGAAGTAACTGAAGAAATGTAAAAATAAAGTTTAAGACAAATATACTATACCTTCCTAAATATTTACTAATGCTAGCAGCATAAGGAGTAAAAATAGAGTATTGTTACTTCACTTTCCCAATCAACATTGACTAAGTAATGACAAAGATATGGCCGAACAAACGGGTCCATTGCAGAATTGTAAAAAGTGCTCTGGTCCGTATGGGGTGAACAGGTGTGAGAGCTGAAGTGGTTAAATAAGGAGTTCCACCCTTATTTTTGAACATTGGTGTTGCCCTTCCACTTCATACTCGTACACTAAACTTTGTTTTTTTCCTCTGATCAATGGTTACTTCTTGATCATAGAACATGCATCAGAAAGCTTACTTCAAATATGCAATAGATTCACTTCTGTAGTTGGAACTGTGTGTGATTATTAGCTTAAAAGCTGCCCATAGATTTGACCACCCAAAGACCTAAGCGAAAAACGCAAGGGCAAACAGTTGCCATCTCCTGTTACATAAGAAAGGTACATGACTTATGGGTAAAGAGATTTTTCTGCTTTGAATAGTTTAAAGCCCTTTTACGTCCATTGACAAGTCTGAATGAGTTAGACTGATTTTAGATATACTGAAGTGTTGTGACGAAGATACTGTATTTCAGTTTCTGTAATTAAATAAGAATGGTTTATTAGCTACTAATCTCATTTTCATGTTTATTTGCTGTGTAGAGAAGAGCTTCTCAAGAATGCACCAGTTCTACAGCTGGATCCAAATGTAAATGGAGTGTTTAATGGCCCATATCCTTTTGGTATTGACCCGGTAAGATCTTACCCCTTTATTCATACTGAATGCTTTGCTTCCCGTTATTGAACTGTTGTATAACACTAGTCAGACAGTCTAACAATAATTCATTAGTCAAACGTGAGACATCAGATCTGTATGTATTCTTTGTTCTGAATAACTTTGTAAAACTACAACATAAGCACAAACAAAACATATGTGTCAGTACATTAAACATTATAAAACAGCTTCATCCCATCAGTGAGAGTACTCACGGACAATTCCGCCATAAGTCAAGGAATAGCTCAGAGCTCCACTGTATGCTACTTGCTAGATCCAGAAGCAGTCACGAAATGGAGGATAGGAAGTTCCAGGTTAAAGGTTACTGTCTCTATGTGAAAATTACCACTTCCTATCAAGACCTGATATAACTAGGCATAATAATAACTCTGACCACTAGATGGCAGCCACATCACATAACATTGCAGTATATTACATACATTATTTTCAACAATATGGGCAGAACACTGAACATTTATTGGAGTTGAGTTGATGTATATTTAAGGTTTATCATAACGTTGATGACATTATGGCTGTATTGCAGATTTGGAGCATTGCAACCAACAAGCTTACTTTCTTAAATTCCTTCAAGATGAAAATGTCGGTTGTCCTGGGTGTCATACATATGCTTTTTGGGGTCACTCTCAGCCTACTAAACCATATGTACGTATTTTTTCTCTGATACAGTAAAGTAATACAAAATTATATCTAGATGTTATACAACTAATGTGTTCTAGCAATATAATATATTTAGTATGGGAATACATGTGGGAAAGTCAGCTTAGAGCCTTACAGTAACCAGGAGCATCCAATTGATTGCTATTTTGACACTTAAGGCAGCCCTAGATGGATCGAATCTTGGCCAGTTCCTCAGGGACTGTCCAAGATTCAATCCATCTATGGGCAGACTGGTTGATTGTACTGAAGCCAATTCATTGATCAAGTTCAGTACAACTAGCCTGCTGTATTTTTTGCATGTGATCACTGCTAGTGGCTGGAAGGCTCTCTGAGAGCAGAACATAATGCTGTGGGAGAGATTCAAGTGTTTTTTTCTTTCCTGCAACCCATGTTGAAGGAAAGAAAATTGCATCATCTATGGCTTGCCTTACATATTATGGTTACATCCTATAACTACCCTAAATGTTTGCTTCGTCTCACTATGAACCATTGATATTCATGTGCCATAGGATGTTTTGACAATATTTTACAGTGCTTGTCCTAAAACAACTGTACATTGTCAGCCTTTAATTTGAATTTAATATGGAGTGAAACAACAAAGCTTTATCAAACCTTTTTATCTTCTCAGATACTTTAAGAAGCCATTCAACATTTACTTGGGATTTATCCCAGAAATGATCTTCATGGCGTCTCTGTTTGGATACCTAGTCATACTCATCCTGTACAAGTGGTGTGCTTATGATGCCTCAACATCCAAGATAGCACCCAGCCTTCTTATTCATTTCATCAACATGTTCCTCTTCAGCTACAATAGTGATAATGATAACAAAAACAATATTCCTATGCTGTATAGTGGACAGGTCAGTAATGGTCAACTCGCCTTTTTAGGTCACTAAAGATATTGCAAGTATTTTTATTGTAAAACTGCAGCATATTATGTGCTATTTATTGATTGTAATAACCAACAGTGATTAATACCCAGCATGCACAACAGTTGACCAGTATTCACATGGGAATGGGTTATAAGAAACCAAAGGAGTTTCTTGAAGAACTCCCATTTAAGTAGTATTTGTGGGTAAAATGACCACATGACCTACCAGTCTAATCACTTTACCTATGTAAAAAGATTAGCATTGATAATACTTGCTCAAAAAGTACATTAATTCAATAATAAACCTTTCCCATGGTTGCAGAGCAAAGAGACATTTAATATTGTGTAATAAAATGATATTGTACACAGATAAGAATACAGAAGAATGACACATACATTAAAGTCAATCTCCATGTTTACTGACACTTTAAATAGTTCATTTAGGCCAGCTTGGTCCAAAACAAACTATTTCCTTCACTAAGTGCTGCATTGGCTCTAAGCACTGCATGTTACATAGAGTAAACAGTACTGTGTTCCGGCTGAGAGATAGACACTTCCCATCTTACACCTGGAAGAAAAGTCAATCTGAGCGGCACTCAGCCATTCATAGGCAGCTTTGTATACTGTGAATGAATTTTAAAGCTTCCTCTGATTGGCTGAAGCAGAGATGCAAGTTGGTAATGTCATGCTCTCTGACTTGGCCAGCCTCAGGAAGCCTTGTATTCATACAACCAAAACCTAATCTATGTGAGTGTCTATGCTACTAAGCCTATTTTCCCCTAATAATTTCTCAAATTTACCTTGGCTTTCCTGCTTCTTGTCAAGCTGTCATCTCTAGATAAAGTGCAGGATTTTATTATACAGAAAATCTACAATATCTTCCACAATCCTTTGGGTCAAATCCAGATCTTTATCACCATATCAAATAACTAACTTTTGAGGATTGTTTTTAACCCTTTCTCTGCTGAGGAAGTGTCCCTCGTTATTGCAGCTGTGAGCTTGTGTTAGATGTAATCAACAGATTTTTTGGCTTTCAACTAAAAGTGGTCTGCGCAGCTGTAAAGCCACCCGATCACTTTTATAGGTAAAGCTATTTTAAGCTCAAGCTGCTTAGGCAGGGAGCAGAGGAGACAATAGTACCTGTCACCTGCCCAGTGCTGTCACATACCAGGCTTATCAGCCCCACTGTAATAAGAAATGTTTTAAAGGAAAAAAAAAAACAATAAATGTAATAAAATGAACAGTCCCCACACCAGCATCACACGCAAATGAACAGTCCCCACACCAGCATCACACGCAAATATAAAGGACAGTTGCACATATTTCGCATTGCCATGCACGTAAGAGTGGTGTGAAAATGCTAGGTCTTTCATTTATGGTTAACTTATGGTCTGTAAAGGTTTAAAGCATCATCTATGCACCGTTTTGAGCATCATATTTTTTCCACTGTTTCATGTACAATTTTTAGGCTGAAAATATACACACACAGGTCCATATATATTTGGATACCGGCACAATTTTCATACTTTTGGCTTTGTATGCCACCATAATAAATTAAAAAAAAAACCATACAAATGAATTTTAAGTGCAGACTTTCAGCTTTAATTCAAGGGGTTTAACATGAATATCAAGTACAAATTTTAGGAACTGCAACCATTTTTTATACACAGTCCCTACATTTTCAGGTGCTCAAATGTAATTGGACAATTGAATATAATCATAAATAAAATGTTCATTTTTTTAATATTTTGTTGAGCATCCTTTACTGGCAATGACTGCCCGAAGTCTGGAACCCATGGACATTACCAATAACTGGGTTTCCTCCTTTCTGATACTTTTCCAGGCTCTAACTGCAGCTGCATTCAGTTGTTCTTTGTGGGTGTTTCTGCCTTTAGTTTTGCCTTTAGCAAGTGAAATGCATATTCAATTGGGTTGAGATCAGGTGATTGACTCGGCCATTGCAGAATATTTGACTTCTCTTCCTTCAAAAGCTCCTGGGTTGATTTTGCAGTGTACTTTGGATCTTTGTCCATCTTTACTATGAAGCACCGTCCAATCAACTTTGCTGCATTTGGCTGAATCTGGGCTGACAATGTATTTCTAAACACTGCAGAATTCATCCGGCTGCTTGTGTCTTTTGTCACATCATCAATAAACACCAATGACACAGTGCCATTGGAAGCCACGCATGCCCATGCCATCCCACTGCCTCCACCATGGTTTACAGATGACGTTGTGTGCTTTGGATCATGAGCTGTTCCAAGCCTTCTCCATACTTTTTTTTTTTTTTTTTTTTTTACTGTCATTCTGATACAGATTCATCTTGGTTTCATCCATCCAAAGAATGCTTTTCCAGAACTGCATGGACTGCTCCTTTGAATGCATGATGTAGGTTCACAGCGATAGATTCCAAATGCAAATACCATACTTAGAATGAACCCCAGACCTTTTACCTGCCTAATTAATGAAGAAATGACAAAGGAGTAGCCCACACCCGGCCATGAAACAGCTTTTGATTCAATTGTCCAGTTACTTTTGGTCTCTTGAAAAAGGGGGGATGGCTACTCTTAAGAGCTTTACTTGCTAAATCCTTCCTCCAATTTGGATGTACATACCCTCAAATAGAGTGTGCACTTTCAGCCCATATCCATTATATAATTATAGCTTGAATATGTTTTGGTAAATACCTGAAAAAGCTAGAATTGGCCCATATATGGGCCAAAGTGTGTGTGTGTGATTTTTTTTGTTTTGTTTTTTAAACTCAATCTCATCTTTTAGATTTTTCTTTAAAAAAAAAAAAGGGAATTCTGTTGTGTTTGTGCGCACTAAAATTATTTTGAGCATGTTTTTTACTAAAAATATGGTTGGATAAATAGTTTTGTAAATATTGTGTGGCATAAACAATTGCATGTACCACTGTTTACTGCTTTCAGAAAATATTTAATATTCCTGTGCACTCAACTGAAACCTCAAGCAATGTTTTCAGCTTTCTAAGCTGTCTTCTGTTAACTAAAGAACACACAACTCTTGCAAAATGACAAGAGAGGATAAGGTGTTTGCAGTCTGAATCAGGAGTGCAGCCTAGGATGACAACACTTTTTCAGCATACATACACTACGGAGTGAATGTTGTCACCCTTAGATAAGAAATGTGTTACTTGCAGGATCACCTGGTTAAAATAAAGGAAAGTGGAAAAAGGAAAGCTAATGCAGCAAGCACATCTAAGGACTAGTAAACTGCTGTCATTAATTTTTCTTTCTTGGGTTCAGATGCACTTTAGGAAGGACTTATCTATTTCAATACATAAATTAATTTGGGATTCTACGTCTTTTAATCGGTTAATTGGAGGCCATAAAAAAAACAAATGCAGTAGTTCCCCTTAAACTGCAAAGGCAGCGAAGGTGTGTACACATGCCATGCTGCGATGCTTTGCATTTTGACAATGGTGGGAAGTACTGCCCGAAAAGTATCATTTTTGCAAACACAACCCAGAGTGGCTGCAATGTAGTGGTGTGGGTTTGTGGGGAGGATGCTGTGTAATATCTTATAGCCTGTCCAGTGCCCCCTGAAAAGCTATACACTGTTTTGAATCTTAACTCCTGCATGTGTCTTTGCCTTCCCCATCATATTCTAACCAGTCTGAACCAAAAACAAAGCCTTCATCCCATTAAGCAATAAGAGTTTCTCCAGTCTTGCATTAGCCTTGTGTTAGTACAGGTAGCTGGAGTGTCTCTTATTTGTATTAATAGGAGGCAGTACAATAATATTCTGCTCTGTGTAAAATGTGCTGCTGTGATGTAGTAGGTAGGGGAAAATATCAAGCATCAGAGTTTCATATTAGCTGCTTGTACAAGGAAAGTAGGTGAGAGCTTTGATTTGACTGTTTTCAGTGATTTAGTAGTACGCTTTATATAAAACTGTATCCTGCCTTTAAATTGGGCTACTTCTCATCACCTTAGTTGCCTGCAGACACTGAGTATTTTTGTGCAGTACTTGGCATTTGGAGACTATGAACATTTATCCCCAAAAATGATGGGCTAGGAATTCCCTGCCATAACGCATCATGGTACTTACCTGACTCATGTTTGAGTGCTTGAAATTGGGAGCATTGTTTCTATGAAGCAATTTATTGGAAGCCTTAGGATCACATACCATGAAAAATGTATATGAAAAGCTAGTGATTTGCTAGCTGGGATGGAGACATTTTCCAGTGTGTAGATATCACTAATTTCTATGACCCAGTGATCATTTTATTATACCTTGCAAGTATCAGTTCTCTCTGCACATCCTGAGTCACATGCATAAATGTCTTTTGTGAATCTCTGACAGAGTGAGAAAAATACAGGACAAGTGCTTGAGAGATTTGCATGGCAGATGCACACCCACACATCCACATGCTTTTCACAGGAGTTTACTGTTATTACCTTGTTGGCCAATACCATGTTGGGGTTGCTGTCTTACAATAGCTAGGATCTTTCAGGGGGTCAGACAATTTTATTCCAATTTATGTGTGTGTTTTAGTTCTTAAAAGCAGATTGTGTTCTTTTTGTCTTCTAGAAAGGACTTCAGTGTTTCTTGGTTGTTTGTGCTATGCTCTGCGTGCCGTGGATGCTGGTCTTAAAACCTTTTATGCTACGCCAACAGTACTTAAGGAGGAAACATTTGGTGAGTATTTGGAAAATGTGTGTTTTGTTACTGAGCCACTACTTACCTCTGCACTGTTACATGGGGTCTGCTTATCTCTAAGAACAGAGTGACATTGCAGATGGGAATGGCTCTTAACTTTTTAGATTTGTCAAGTGATCATGTGTAAAGGCAGAATATTTCCAAAATCAGTATGGTGCCTTTGCATCCACCCATGGACCCTAAGACCTTTGTGTATTTCCACCTAAAACAGACTGCTAAGGTTTATGTTACTACCAGCAAATGATTTAATCCACAAGCTTCTTCTAACATTCAGAGGGGCTCCAGTGGGCTGCCTGGGATCTGCATTCTGTAGCTGCAACTTATACGCACAATCACATAGTTATTCAGATTGGACATCTGAGCATTTAACCAACCAAAGAAAACTCCTTGCATTGTCAACGTAGAAATGCATCCAGCTGTTTTTTTGAAGAACTCTACTGAGTTAGCTACAACCACCTATTGTATGTGATAGTTAAACATGTTTGCTAGTCTCAAACAGCATCCCTGTGTCTTTTGCAGGGACCCTATGGAAAACACTGTAAGATCTCTAAAGATTTTAAATTTGGCACCTATTCAATAGAATACACTATATCCTCTCTGGTGACCTGTTTTACATACCTCTCATCTTGACACCGCTGACTCGGCGAAATAAAAAAGACCCTGACACCCACCAACTCATCCGCAGCTGCCAAACACTTGCCTCAATATGACAGGTCTGACATTTGCCAGTCAGATGTAAACAATTGGGTGGAGCTAGCGGTGACATCAGCGCCTTTATTGTTTTCTAAATTTAGCCCTTTAGTGAATGGGTAAGGGTACAAGTACCCCTTATTCATTCATAAGGGGGAGGTGGCAGCATCAGGGTGCCCCCTTATTTAAAGGGGTACCGTGATGCTTATTAGCCCCCATGCCTGCAGACCCCCACAACCACTGGGCCAGGGTTGTGGGGAAGAGGCTCCTGTCCCCATTGGCATGGGGACACATGGAGGGAGTGGCACTCAATCATCCCCCGCCCCTTTCCTACCCTGCCATGCCTGTGCTCGGATCAAAGGTCTGGTAGAAATTTAGGAGGCACCCCATGCTTCCTCTCCCTTTTTTGGGGGTGGGGTTCCCCTTAAACATCCTACCAGGCCTAAAGGGCCTAGTATAACTTTTAGGGGTAACCCCGTGCCCTTTTTTTTTTTTTTTTTTTTTTTTTTTTTTTTTTTTTTTTTTACATTTTTTACTTCCTAACTTTCCCATCAGACCTAAAGGGCCTGGTATTTTTTGTTTTATTTTTATTTGTTTTTTTAAATATTTTTTTAAAAAATGTTTTCAGAGAGAATGTTTTCCTCTGTCTTTGGCAGTGTCCAGCAACACACTACACAAGGCTGCTGTGTAAGCAGCCTTATATAGTGTGGGGCGTGGACTTAGCTGTGAGCCATGATTGACCAAAGTCACCATGACTTTGGCCAATCATGGCTTTCACAATGCACTGTGCATTGTGGGGCACTTGGTGGGCTGCTCGCCGAACACATGAATGGCCGATGTTCGAGTTGAACTTACACTTGACTTGAACATCGAAGCCAACATTATTCACCAGTCCCTGCCCCAAAAGTGCAAATAAATTCAGTTAATTTAATGTTTCATCAGTAGTTGCCCTTCACTAAACTTATTATACTACATGATGTCAAAAATTAAACTACGGTATATAATTGCACAATTTTGTTCCATGCAATTTGTTCATTCTCTCCATTCTGCATTCCCATTAGGAATAAATGGGGAAACCAATATGAAATGCCTTGCCCATTATATTCATAGCATATATACAGTAACATGTTGTGAGTGAAAGGGATCTGAGCTGGAAAGGATTCTTTCTGGGTTCACGGAATGGTTATAAGCAGCATCTCTGTTTTAGGTGGATGTAGTTTTATTAGGAAATAAACATTTCTGCCAAAGTTTTTTCGTGAAATGGGCATATATAATTTGTGTATGTCCATTTATCAAAATTTAGTTTCTATTTCTTTTTCCCTGCAATTGTGATATGTATGAATTTAACATACCTAAATACTATATACCTGTCGCTTTAATGTTAAGCACTTATGAGTTTAAAACAGTTACAGTTCTTAGATTTTTGGCTTTGTGTTTTATGAATGTTGCTTTGTGTATACATATCCCAAACAGACAAATAGCAGAAAGTCATATAATTTAGAACAGCAGTTAGTTGTTTACAAATCATAGAAATGCATGAAGTTACAGTAAACAAACCGTTCAAATATTTAATAGTTTATGGCATCTGTGTGTTGGGCTCAGTTCACAGTGCCGCGACTTGGGATCCGACTTGTGAGACCCCAAGTCGCATATCATGTGAAATCCCATGTTAGTCAATGAGAGCTGTCTTAATTAGCACTACTGAAGTCGCTCCAACTTTAGAAAAGGTTCCTGTACTACCTCAAGGCGACTTCCATCTGGGTTACTAAACCCAGGACCCTGCATTCACTATATCTGGTCTCAGGAAGATTACCCAGGCATTACGTGAAAGTCGCTTCAAAGTCGCATCAAAGTAGTACTCAGGTCGCCAGGAGGTCGCCTGGCAAAGTCACATGACTTTCAGGTCGCAGTAGTGTGAAGCAAGACTGTAAACCCTCACCTTGTAAAATAAACCATTCAGTTTAAAATAGAAATGTAGAAATGAAAGACATTTCAAGAAGTGATCACATACCCTCTGTTCTCAGTTGCTTAAGAGCTGGGGGGGGGGGGGGGGACAAACAGCAACACACTAATCTTCCCAGTGAGAGGCTGGGCAGAGGGAGGTGTGTCAGGACAAGTCTGATTATTGGAGGAAAGCAGGCTAGAAAACTGAGTTCCCAGCACAGCTAGAAAACTGACCACGCTGTGCTCTCCTGCTTACTGTGGTCAGTTTTTAATAGGAAAGCAGAGGGACTGGCAGGAAAACCAGGGCTTTCACACACAGGAGGCAATACAATGAGAGCAGGATACTTTTTCATACAAGTGCATGGTACGGCAGGCACATATCAGGAATAGGAAATGTTGGGTTACATATTCTATAAAGGATAAGTTCACCATTTTTAGTAAAAAAAATATTAAATGCACATTTTTTGCAGGTAAAAAAAAATTTAGCATTTTCTTTATTGTACATCACGGGACACAGACCAGGCCATAATAATGACTATGTGGGTTATATGCCACCTGTAGGTGAATTAACACTGGCCAACCAATTAGACAGGAAGTTCTCCGCCATATAACCCCTCCTACACAGCAGTGTCTGTAAGGTGGATGTTCACTGAACATGTGCTGCATGTGCTTTGAAGCATACTGGGAGGTCTGGATTGATTCTATTGAGAGTCAACAGCCTCAATCGGATCCATTAGAAAAACTGTTAGCCAAAATGGATGGTACCTGAGCCTTGCTGGATAAGGAGAAGAATTCTCAGGGTTTTGCCTGTAACGCGGCTTTACGGTGCTGGACTGCTTTTTTGGAACCCTGTGCAGTTTGGTTTGACCGAGGCGCTTCCGGCAGGGTGATATACAGGTCCAAGGCAGTGGCCCCCATTTAAAAAGGGGGATTGAGTCCTTGAAGGTCTTTAGGACAGGGCCTGCCGTGGTGGGTGAAGGTTGGTCCCTGACTAAAAGTTCACTCTTTAAGAGAGTCCAAATGTCCGACCTTTAAGGGGCCAGGCACTTCGATGGCTGGTGCTTCTTACGTTAAGTAAGCATTTCGCCATACACTGGGCTCTGCGTCTAGGGGAAAATTTCAGGGCTAGGGTCAAAAGAAAACCCTGGGTGCAGAAGCCTGCCAGGTCAGATTCTAAGTCTGCTTCATTATGAAGGGGCGCCCCTTTTTGTGAGGGTGGGGGAAAGACTTGTTTTTTTCGGAAATCTGGAAAGAGCTGATCCACGACAAGTGGGTCACTGCTACAGTTATATATTAATATAATAAAACGAGCGCTGGATCTATGTGAACAAAGCAGCTGGCATGAAAGGCAACACCCCCAAACCTTCTAGGAAAACAAAATGGCATGCAGCGCTGGAGTAAACAATGTTGATCATACAGCTGTGATCTTAGTAGTAGTAGGTCATTAATTCTTAACGTCTCTCAGGTGGATAAGATGACCCAAAAACTAATAATCAGGTGATTCGTACTTTAATAAAAAGTTATACAGCACGCTGGGGTTAGTGTAAGTACGTATAGTGAAATAAGTCAATCAACAATAACCAGTTGGCAACCGTGACATCAGTGGTATGGTGGGTAAATGTAGATTGCACTAACCAGATAGCGCAAATTAAAGCGCCACCAGAGGGAGCCAAAACTTGTAGATGTCATCAATGGTCTCACTTGATATAAGTAATAGCAGAGAAGGCCGCTGGCCATATGAGGAAAACCACGTGGGGTGTTGGAATGTGACTGAGGGCAGTTTCCTTGCTACTGCTACAGTTGCTCAGGGATACAAACTGGAGTTTTAGGGGAATTCCTCCTCCCCGTTTCTTATGGCCGTTTCTTATGGTCCAATGTATCCATGAAGCCATTGAGAAGGAAATCTTTGTTTCAGACACTTGACTGGCTGTTGTCCCAGAGCGTGATTGTGGAAGTTCCAGTGAATGAAAGGTTCCAGGGATATTATTCAAACCTATTCATACTTCCAAAGCTGAATAGGGATGTAAGGTCTATTCTACACTTAAAGGGGCTGAACCGGTTCCTAAAGATTCGTTCATTTTGGATGGTGCCAGTCTGGTCGGTATTTGCATCTTTACAAGAGGCAGATTTTCTAGTATCCATAGACATCAAGAACGCATACCTGCATGTGCCAATATTTCCAGCTCATCAAACATTTCTGCGGTTTGCGATAGAAACTAGTCATTTTCAGTTCGTGGCACTACCTTTTGGGCTAACCACGGCTCCTCGGGTGTTTACAAAGATTCTGGCTCCAGTTATGGGGCTGCTCAGAATGCAGGGAATATATATATATTTTGAGCTATCTG